AACCACCGTTAGCTTTATAATTATCTTTATCATTATCATCATCTGCAGAACTATCTTTCATATAATTATTATAATAATCATAATTATCATTACCATCATTTGTCCCGTTGGCGCTATCATAATTATGATCATTATTATCATTATTGTCATTGTTATCAATATTATTATTAGCATCACCATTATCTTTATCATTATTATTATTAACTTTATCATCGTCATTATTATTGTCAACATCCATATTATGATAATTCTCGTCATCGTAATTATTATTACTGTCATCATCAACATTATTATAATTAGCAATAATATTTACATTATTATCATCACCATCATGATAATTATTAAACTTATCATTATTTTTATCATCATCATCGTTATAATCATCATTATCATTATCACCATCATTATCATTTTTATCAGTATCATCATCATCATCATCATCATCATCATCATCATTAATATCATTATTATTATCATCATCATTATTATTATCATCATTATCATTATTATCTTTATCATTATTATTATCATTATTGACATCATTATCATCATGATCGTTATTATTATTATTATAATCATCGTTATTATTATCATCATCGTCATCACCATCATCATCGTCATCATCATCATTGTGCGCGCCGGTGCCACTTTTGTTGAATGTTCAGTCGCAGTAGCTAGGGCTGAGCACGCTGGGTCCAGGCAGGTGTGGTAAGGAAAAGGAGGATGCGAGAGGTCACCTCAATGATCACAAGCTGCTTCTTTGTTTTTATTATAAATGTTTATTCATTAAAAATACTCCCTAACTACTCTAAAATCAAGAAAAAGGCCACGTTGGCGAGGGGCACGAAACTTTATGTGTGTGGCTGGCTCGCGTGCGACACATCCGTACTGTTCGGCTTCCAAACTGAGAAGAAGAAGCGAGAAGGGCAGCAGCAGCGGCGTGGCTCTCCTCGGTGAAGAGAGTCGCGCGGCGGCTCTGCCTTCTATTGGCTCTACTGTTCAGCTAGTAGGCAGCAGAGCAGCAAGACTACAATGGGCCATAGGCTTTAAACAGAGAACGGCTGCAACATGCCGCCCGCCAAACGTCACCTACAGCGCGTTTAATTAATAAAGTACTACGGTTCCAGAAGAGGCTAATGAAAATTTAAGTGAGAACTAAATGAATATTTTGAAACGCGGCTTACAGTCATTGCGGGTGAAGAAAAGAAATGCCTCAACTGGCCTTAACTAAGTTACCATTACAAACGTGGTCAGAAAATGATGGGCTTATGGCCAATAAATGAGTAATATCTAATCTTCAGTGATGACACTGGGCGTACCGCCCGCCCTGGAAGGGTACCCTTAGTTAGCTGGAAGTGAGGTTGTTGGCGAAGCGGTGAGTGGCACCAGCTTGCTGACAGGCCGACGAAGTTCAGACTTGGCCGTGCGGACCATTGCCACCCGACATGGGCCATCTTCTCCTGGGAAAATTCGCACGATGCGGCCCATGAGCCACTTTGTGGCAGGTTGAAGCTCGTTTTTGATTAGGACTACTTCTCCCACTTGAAGGTTGGGCTGAGCACGCGTCCACTTGGTACGTTGATGCAGCAGAGTGAGATATTCCTGACTCCATCTAGACCAGAAGTGATCGCGGATTTGCTGCACGTGCTTCCATCTGGAACTGAGACAAGTTTTGGAATTCAGTTCTGTAGGGTCAGGAGGAGAGAAAAGGGCGGCTCCTATCAGAAAGTGTCCAGGGGTTAAGGCGACTGGGTCTTCATCGTTTGAACTAAGATACCCAAGTGGCCTTGAGTTTAAGCAAGCTTTAATTTGACTCATGAGCGTAGTGAGCTCCTCATAGGTAAGGAGAGCCTCTCCAATCACGCGCTTGAGATGATGTTTGCACGCCTTGACAGTAGACTCCCAGAGTCCGCCGAAGTTCGGTGCGTAAGGTGGCGTGAAGTGCCAGCTGACTCCTTCGCTGGCCAGGTAGAAAGCCGCTTGCTGACCTACTGCAGAGGTTTCTTTAAATAAGCGGCTAAGTTCGGCGTCGGCGCCTTGAAAAGTGGTGCCGTTGTCACTGTACATGTGTAAACAAAGTCCTCGGCGAGACACGAAGCGGCGAAATGCTGCTAAAAACGCCGGTATGGAATAGTCAGAGACTATTTCAATGTGCGTTGCTTTAGTAGCAAAAAACACGAAGACCGCGATGTAGCCTTTCATGACCTTTCGACCACGACTGGGGGAAGCCTTGAACCAAAAGGGTCCGGCATAATCAACGCCCGTGTGTGTGAAAGGTCGCGATGGTTGTGTCCGAGGAGCAGGAAGGGCGCCCATCATTTGAGAGATGGTTCGTGCCTTAAGCCGAGCACATGTGGTGCACGATCGTACTATCCCTCTAACGAGATTCCTTGCACGTAGGATCCAAAATTGACGGTTCAAGGTACTATGTGTAAGCAAGGGGCCTCCATGTAGTGTAAGGAGGTGTGTATCTCGAACCAGCAAGCGGACTACATGATGCTTAGCAGGTAGTACGATGGGGTGTTTCTCAGTTTCTGTCAAGGCAGCCTTGTGTAGACGACCACCGACTCTAATCAAACCAAGTATGTCAAGGAAGGGGTTGAGCCTTTTTAAACTCGATGACCTTACCTCTTCGGAATTTAACAGAGATTGAATCTCGTCATGCAAGGTAAGTTTTTGCACTAAACGCCGCAAGCAGACCCGGTCAGCATGGATCTCTTGGACTGAAAGCCAAGTTAGCCGTCGTTCTAGGGGTTTGAGGGTGTTGCTTTTAAATCGAAGCACGTATGACAGGATTCGAATTAACTTTTAAATCAAGGAAAATCGGCTGAGCCACTCGTTCCAGTCGATTTTATCCTGAACGTGAATTATTAGAAACGCTGTGGTGCTTCTTTTTTCTAATTCCGTGGAAGGATCGAGTGGCATGGTTGGCCAGATATCTGGTGACTTGGTAATCTAGCAAGGTCCGTGCCACCAAAGCGTTGAAGTTTCTAAGGTATCGATTGAAACTCTTCTCGAAGCACAATCGGCCGGGTTTTCCCTAGAGGCTACGTGGTGCCAGATTGCCTGAGGTATCAGCGTATGAATTTCGCTAGTGCGATGAGCAACATGTGTTTTCCAACGTGATGGATGACCGCGTAGCCATGCCAAGACAATTTGCGAATCGGACCAGCAATGTACGGTCGAGGAAGCTCTTGGGGTGCTTTTGTCTACAAAATTAATGAGACGTGCGAGAAGTTGAGCCGCACACAGCTCGAAACGCGGTACACTCACGGTTTTGAGGGGAGCTACTCGTGACTTTGCAATTATAAGGCTTGAGTGAGAGGAAGACTCACTGTGCACAACTGCATAAACCGCAGCTGCGTAGGCCTTTTCAGACGCGTCACAAAATCCGTGCAGTTCCCACTGAGACAAAAGAGTCAGCTCAGATCCATCGTGAAATGCGAAGTTGGCTGACTCTCGGGAGTTCCGATAAAAATTCTTGCCAGAGCCATGTAATTGATGGGGGTAGAGCTTGGTCCCAGTCTAACTTGTGGAGCCACAGACTCTGTAGAAGAATTTTCGCCCTGATAATAAGTGGAGCTAGAAAACCAAGGGGGTCGTAGAGTCTAGCCATGTTTGATAATATCTGACGCTTGGTGACGAGCCCTTTGTTTTCCCAAGCTGTGACCTTGAAGATCATGGTGTCCGACTCGGGGGCCCAGAGCATGCCTAGAACTGATGCAAGTGCATCCGCATGTGTCGGAAGCTCGACAGATGTGAGAGTCTTGGGGCTCAATCTGCTCAACAGCGTACGTAAGTTAGACGCCCATTTGTCTAACTCCATGCCTGCTGATGACAAAATACTCCCGAGCTCTTGAGCCTTTTCACAAAGCGCAGATTCCGTCTCGACTCCTACGAAGAAATCGTCCGCGTATCGATTCGTTTTGATAATCGAAGATGCGTGAGAAAAACGGACGGACTTTTGCACAGCAAGATCAAGCATACACGCATTTGCGAGAAATGGAGCTAAAACAGTGCCGTAAGTGACAATGTTTAGCTGAAAGGCGGTTGGTGGATCGTCTGGTGACTTACGCCACAAGATTCGTTGCCAGTCGCGATCGCGACAATCCACTAGAAATTGGGGAAACATCTTGACGATATCGCATAAAAACGCGAAACAATCGAATCTCCATCTTATCAGGATTGTGCGTATGTCCTCGAGAAGGTTAGGGCCTGGGAGCATGAAGCTATTCAGCGAGCGACCTCGGCGATCCTTACTTGATGCATTGAAGACTATGCGTATTCTTTTGTAAGAATCGTCCCGAACTACTGGGTGGTGTGGAATGTAGGCTACCTGCTTTGGCTCGGGTTGACGGACGGAGACTGGCGACATGTGGCCAAGACTCTCGTAGTCTTTCATTAACGTATTATATGCCTGTCGAAGTGCAGGGCATGCCACCAGCCGGCGTTCCATGCTCCGAAGCGAGCCCAGAGCTGCTTCTCGAGTACCTAAAAGAGAGGGCGATTCGGAAAACAGAAGGCGGATGACAAAACGACCTGAGATATCTCGTGGCACGTTCTCCTGGAAATGTCTATAGCAATTTTTATCGTCTGAAGAATCATGATCGACATTAAATGGCTCTTTAACCTCCCAGAATTTTCGTAACGCGACAGACAACTCTTGGTCGACGGTCAGAGTAAATGATTGTGTGGACTTTACCTCGAGGCCGGGGGGTGGCTTAGATCCTCCAAGAAGAACCCAACTAAATACCGTACAGATTGCTGAAGGCGTGCCTGGTGGCCCTGTGATAAGGCCAGGGCGCAAGGCAGCGGCGAAGACTTCAGAACCCAGTAGGCAATCAATCTGACTTGGGGTGTCACAGAATAGATCGGCAATGTCCAAGTCCTTGAGGTGGTTCCAACTCCCGAAATTAACGTTGCTAGATGGAGGCTTTGAGGTGAGCTTGCCCATCGTTAAAGCCTTTATCTTAAAATCAAAACCATTATCAAAGGGGGACTTAACTGATAGAGTAACCCAACCCCTGGCTATCGAAGTTGAATTTCCTAGGCTGTTGACTGCTAAGCAGGTCCCTGTAACCTTGAGGCCCAGTTCTCGCCACATGATCCGACAAGTAAGACTCCTCTAAACAAGAGTCCAAGAGGGCTCTGGCTTGGTAGACTAAGCCAGAGTCTGAAACCGGCGACACGATAGCTGTGGACAACAGTTTCGTGCTCCTGGTAAATGTAGCGAGCACTGAAGTCTGCTGAGTGGAATCAGATGTCTGATACTTATCTTTTTTTTGTGGAGGTCTTGAACCGATGGTTGGCTGCTCGGTTTGATCCATATGCAGAGCGGTATGATGCTTGCTCTGGCAGGTGCGGCATATGTTCTTGGAAAGGCAGTCGCCCACTTGATGAGAAGGTCCCATGCAGTTGAAACAGAGCTTGCTGCTTTGTACGAAGGCTCGGCGCTCCGGCAACGACTTCCCTAGGAACTGCTTGCAGGAACTCGTGTAATGCGTCTCTGAACAATAGAGACAGGTGGGCTTGGGGCCCTTGGAGGTGGAAGGCTGTTCTGATTTTGATGTGGACAGAAGGGCGGATGTAGACTGCTTCTCTTTTGGCTTGCCTTTATCTCTTGCTTTGTTGCCCTTGGCAGTCGGAGCAGGACCAGCTTCTCGCGTGCTGGAGCCTAGACAATCTAGGGTGCGGATCCTCGTCTCCAGGAAGGTCCGAAGAACTTGATACGTGGCGAAAGTTATTCTTTCGGCCTCACACTCTTTTGCCCAATCAAGCTGTGTATCCGGTGCCAACTTGCTGGTGATACAATATACCAGTAGAGCATCACAGTTGGACAATGTAGGTGCGGGAGCGTTAAAGACGTTCAAGCTCTCGTTCATGGTTGACAACAGCTGATTAAGGTGTGTTACAGATTTTTCACTTGCCGACGGCATCTCTAATATAACCTTTATGTATGTGTTACAGCCCAGCAGCTTATCATCATAGCGCTTGACCAGGGTTTGCCAGGCTGTATCGAAGTTGTCGCCTTCTACTTCAATGCCACGTAGAAGGCTGGCCGGCTCACCACTCAGTGAGTTAATCAGATGCTGAAACTTGATCACTGGCATGACGGACGTGTCATTGATTACCAACGCTGTAAACTTATCGGAAAATCCTTGTCAGTCTCTCTGCTCTCCGTTGAAAGTTGGCAGTCTGACCTTTTCCAGCTGTGAATGAACGGCTGTTCTATTTTCTGATTGGTTTCCTCTGGATGGTGCAGGATTTTAAAAGCGCACCAAACACTCTTGAAGAAGCCCCAGGCTTTGCATGAAATCTTCGAGAGTTGCGTCATGCACAGCTTCTGTAGTATAAGTTTGATTTTGTATGTCGTCTGCCCATGAGCAGAGCTCCATGTCGTTGTTTTCAAACTTATCCCAATAGCCTTGTAAGAGCTTTATCCTGTTTTTTAAATCAAAAGTCGTGAGCTGCTCTAGCGCTTTGATTTTTCTTGTGTTGACGATTAAAGTTTTTGATGTAAGTAGCGAGAGACTTTTGTTGAAGGAGAAGCTTCTCGCACTCATCATCGAGTGATTCGACATCGTCATTGTCGCTCGGCATGTTGATGCGCTGAGAAGACTTTGCTATATAGCTGCCCTACGTGAGGGTCCCAGGCAGCTGTATGTATGTAATAAGCATGTGAGCTCGAGCGCTTTATGTCGTGGTACTTGGCACCATTGCAGCGGCACGAGAATACTCACGACTCGTTGTTTACTTCTAAGCTTAGCGGTTGGAGACGTCCCTACTGCGCGTGTGTTAATGTGCGTGGACTCTACCCGAACGCACCACACGATTAGACTGTACCTCTACGGGTGTTCCGTTGACAGGCACGGGAGCGTATGTGTTATCTAGAGGCACGGCCTCAAGCACCACTACACATGAACGCTGTTCGACGGCCAAGTATGATGTAGCAAAATTAGTAATGTATAGACACTCACGTGTGCTTATTAGCAACATCACAGCAGCGTTAGAATGCTTGCGTTGATTTATAAGCAGCAGAACCGCACAGAAGCAGCAACAACTCCGAATTGGGTGTGAGCGTGTGTGCACGAATGAGCGACAACACACAGCCCTACAGCAGCAGCAACTTCGAATTGGGTGTGAGCGTGTGTGTACGAATGAGTGACAACACACGGCACTACAGCAGCAGCAACTTCGAATTGGATGTGAGCGTGTGTATACGAATGAGTGACAACACACGGCACTACAGCAGCAGCAACTTCGAATTAGGTGTGAGCGTGTGTATGTGTATACATACATACGACGGCACAGCAGTACGCGCTCGAGCTCGTGATCGAATGTGCGCGTGTAAGTGTGTATGTATATAAGCGACAGCACTACGCGCAGCTGTGGAGCCAAGATGGCGCACTTGACTCACCGTGGGTCTCGATGCCTTGTTGTGCTCTGTTCTTAAATTGGCCGCCATATTGATGAGCCTCGTGGTGGCTGCTACAATAAGTACGTAGCCACTGCAATTTTCCTATGGCGCTGCCCGGATCCAGCTCGAAGGACAAAAAAATGTGCACGCCGGTGACACTTTTGTTGAATGTTCAGTCACGGTAGCTAGGGCTGAGCACGCTGGGTCCAGGCAGGTGTGGTAAGGAAAAGGAGGATGCGAGAGGTCACCTCAATGATCACAAGCTGCTTCTTTGTTTTAATTATAAATGTTTATTCATTAAAAATACTCCCTAACTGCTCTAAAATCAAGAAAAGGGCCACGTTGGCGAGGGGCACGAAACTTTATGTGTGTGGCTGGCTCGCGTGCGACACGTCCGTACTGTTCGGCTCCCAAACTGAGAAGAAGAAGCGAGAAGGGCAGCAGCAGCGGCGTGGCTCTCCTCGGTGAAGAGAGTCGCGCGGCGGCTCTGCCTTCTATTGGCTCTACTGTTCAGCTAGTAGGCAGCAGAGCAGCAAGACTAAAATTGGCCATAGGCTTTAAAGAGAGAACGGCTGCAACAATCATCATAAATTTCATTACATTGGCGTTACAATTATTATCATCATTATCATAATCTGCAATATCATCTTCATCATCATCAATATTATCAACGATATCATCATCACAATCACTGTTGGCATCGCCATAATCATCATTATCATCATCATTATCACTATAACCATTATTATTATCATCAGCGTCATTATCATCATTATTATTATAACTTTTACCAATAGCGTCATTATTATCATTATTATTATCATCATTATCATCGTCAACGTTATTATTATCAGCATTACTATCGTCATTATCATCATGATAATTATTATTATCATCATTATTATTATTATCATCATTGTCAATATCATTATTATTTTTTTTACCATTATTGTTAGCCTTGTCATCATTATCATCAATATTATCATTATTATTACTATTAGTATTATCATTATCTTCATCATCGTCATTATCATTTTCATTATCATCATCATCATCATCATCATCATCATCATTATCACCATCAACACAAATTGCTTGAGATTATTATCATTGTCATCTTTATTATCACAATTACTGTTGTCGTTGTTATTATTATTATTATCATCATTATCATAATTAATATTACCATTAATATTATCACCCGCGTCTTCATCGTTATTATCATCATAATTTCTACCGATGGCGTCGTCATCATTATTATTGACATTAATATTATCATCATCATCATCATTATTATAATCGTCAGCATTACTATCATTATTATTATTATCGTTATCATCATCAACATTATTATCATTATTATCATCATTAACATTATCATCATCAGCATAACTATTATTATAATTATTATCATTATTGTCATGATTATTAAACGTATAATTTTTTATTATTATCATCGTTTTTATCATCATTATCATCATTACCACAATTATGATTCTCAGCGTCATTGTCATCATATTTATCAAAACCATCACTGTAGCATCATTATTGTCATCACCATTAACATTATTATTATTATCATCATTATCATTATTATTTTCATTATCATAAACTTTATTATCATCACTAATACCATCACTATTACCGGCAGCGCACTATGTTTCAAAGTGAGTAAGTTGGTGCCAAATTCAATATCTCGTGACTGAATGGACCAATCGTAACTTTTTTTTTTTTTATTAAAGCTTATTGTTTCTACTTCACTAAATAATTATAGAGAACATTGACAAAAGTTACTTTAATAAACAAATTAGAAGTTATTAACAAATATCGAAAATACTAAAAGGAATATCATTTTTCTCGTCCATTTTCCAGGTTTATTTTCATGTATTTTTACCGCTGATAAAAAATCTAGACGGCAATTGTTTGTAAAATAACTATAGAAAAGTTATAAGCGAATAAAATTGAAAAATTTAAAAAATTTTTTTTACTTTCTAGAATATGATATTTTTATATTTTACGATATAGTTTTTGTAGCAAAAATTCAAGAAGTGCTATACATACACATATAAATACATAATTACATACAGATATACAAATTAGCGGCTGATAACAAATATTAAGAATACGAATAGGAATAATGAGTTTTCCGGGCATTTTTTAAGTTTATTTGTATGTATTTTTAGCGCTGAATAATAACATAGAAGACAATTGCTTATAACATAACAATAAAAAAGTTATTAACAAATTAAATTAATTAATTCAACAAAATTATTTTTATTTTTTAGAATATGATATTTTTATATTTTATGATATAGTTTATGTACCAAAAAT